TTTTAACTAACGTGGTGTATCCGAGTTTGAGGGCGTAACAAAGCCAAACATGCCTTTGCAAGGTCAATGTCAATGATATGATATATGGCATGCACATTAAAATGGTTGACCTTTAATGCAAATAACGAATAACACACTAGTATTAGTTGTACGTGCGTTGTCCCATTTTGAAATATGCGTACGGAATTCCCGGTGCTGTACTTTGAGACAAGCATGTTATTAATCCAAGAATTTCCTTGCAATGTTTGTTTAAATATCACGATAAGCTTTATGGGAACCATTTTACTACACTAACACCGTTATGCATAAACAATAAATTTTAATTTCGGCTCAAGTTAACATCTACAATGAAAGATATTTACCTTACAAAAACTTTATTCTTCCACTTGTTTGATAAGCAATTTCGTGCACTAACATGCATTATACAAATGCGTACATAGTATAGACGTGCTTCATTAACGACCTCTTTCAGATTTATTCGACAAATCCGGGCTTTGGAAAAGCAATGGAGTTGGTACAAAATATTGTTTATACTGTGTATTCAGTTGTTTAACTCAACGACAGTATTTTAATAATACTGTATTATTAATGTACCAACTCTGATTCAACACTCAAAACATTGTATTTCTTTGAATGACTTGTCTAGGGTCCAGATAATTAAATCAACAATTCAAAATTGGGTTAAATTATATGCCATCAAAATAACAGTATATACTGTTCTAACCTAACTTTGCTAATAGGTTTGACTATTTGATATAATTTTAAGTTGGTTTTTAAAGCTGTGAAAATTATTATAATTGCAACAGGTAATGTTGAGTTTGAATGGGCATACTAATACCAAATATCAGTAACTTTTAAGCAGAGGATTATCGGGTTATTTACTTAAGAAACAGTACTGCAACAAAGATAGCTTCTCATAATATCTCTCTTTATTGGGTTATGCAACTGAAATTCTGTTGATTTTTATTCATACTTTGTATGTGAGGTCTTCTTATGCATAAATTACAATATTAATATAACAGTGACTTATTAAACAACACTGGACAATATTTTACTGTTGATACAAATTAATTTACAAATAAAAATGAACAACTAGCTAAAAGTGATGTTATTAATTTATGTTTTCAGATGCTAAAATTTGACATTATAATATAATTATGGTTCAGTATGTAAAACCAATTCTTGACTGCATATATGTAAACCTACCAACAGGTTCTAAATAATTGGCATTTTAGAGAAGTTGGCTAACTTGAAATTAGGATTTTTTAACATACTAGCTCTTAGCTAAAACATAATGTGGCTATACAGTCAACTCTGTCTATACCGGCCTTTTTTATACCGATTTCGCCTTATACCGGTCCAATTTTGATGCACCAAAAGATTATATATTAACCCACCCCTTATAACAGCTGAATCGTATACCGGTCTCTCGTTATAACGGCGCCGGTAATAATTTAGCTGACTGCCAAGCATTAGACCATTTTGGAAAATAAATGTGTTGTTGTTAAAAAGTTTTAACAGTCATCCTCCCTACGGTCATGCTGTTGGGAACAATGCAACTTCGTGCTTATAGAGGGGGTAGGGTTGACTATATTGGAATATTAAAAATGTATGTTTATTCACTAACCATAATTATAATCCAATTTTTGAACCTGTTTGCGAAACGGCTTTCGATTTCTTCCTTTCTCATTGTACAGGAAGTTATTCGAACACTAGCATATATTTATGTAGAGCCAACGAATATAATGTGGTTCGCTACATATTCTCACAACTTTGATTGGTGTACAATTACGCGGTGAATCCGCTCAGTGAATGGTGTATAGTAAAACAAACGATTTCTATCGATTGTTACAGACCCGCCCCCTCTTCCGCCTCTCATTAAGCACATTGAAGTTTCCCATATGTTGTCTATGAGGTGAGGAAACACTAATACCAATCCAATCATTTGCAGCTTATTATCGAATTACGAAACGCCATCCACTCTGATTGACATTTGTAAGTTTAGCGTCTCAAGTTAATAACCGAGTACATTTTTATATAGCTTGCGTTTCTGACATAAGAAATTACCTTAACAAGTTTTCATATTCATTTTAGTGCCTGCACAGTTTGTGCGCGTTGCATCAGTAGACCTTGACAAGAAAAGATCTGCCCGAGCTTTATTCTAATTATAGTCGGCCTGCATTTGCATAAGAATGATTGGTGCGTACACACGTGCAATATTTCTAAACCGTCAGTGTCCTACGTTGAGTTTCAAATTTTATACTTGCCAACCCGTCATACTGGCAATAAACGTTATTACTACTAGAGTTATAGTGTATCAATGAGTGAGATAATTCATTCTACAACAGACTCGTTGCGTATGCTTGTAATACCTATACGATCGAGGCGTACCAATAACCCTATAATTCTGATGTAATATGGAATCTAATATGCATAACGTAGAGTGTGCGAACACGGAATCTGTGTAAAAGATAAACAGTTCTTGACTAAAATGGTATACACCGGAAAATCGTTAAAAGTCGTTAAACTTCACATGTGCAGTAGACTTATATATAGTTACATTATTAAAATAACCCCATCTGCCAAGCAATTTTTAACAGATAAACAAGTATATAAATTACGACAATAATCGACATTGATTTTTAGGCCATCCATAAGATAATCTATTTTTTATCGTGTTTGTTATGTGGCTAGGACGTATCCTGTCCTAAAAGGGACTTTGGCACAACAAAATATTAATAGAGAAGTGCGTTGGATGAATTTGATTGGTTATTAATATCAGATATACGCATGTCTATGCCGTCATTCAACAACGTATTGATTGTATTGTAATTTCCTAATTGTATATGTCATTGAACACTTGGTGTAACGAACCTGCCAATATACAATATGCAATTAGCAATATTATTCAACAATACAAAGGAATAAGGCTTTTGATATGTTGTACATCAGTTGGGGACCTGTCTCAGTTCGGAACCCAGTAACTCAGTCCAGAGCGTCCAGAACTGAGACAGTCCCCAACTGATGTACAACAGATATAACCATAGAAGCCAAGCCGCATACATTAGTATTGACGCATTTATAGCTTAAATTATAGGTAAAACTATTACTATTACCGACCTCTCGTGTTGTCGATACAACCAGGTCGGGATGCCAGTAAGGGCAAGAGGAATAAGAGCAATCTTATTTATCGTTCAGTAATAGAAGTACGACGTACTATTTGTATCCCCATAAAATCGGCCAGTTGTGACAGAATGAGCGATAAATGCCGACAATTTTCTCTCGCGACGGTAAGATTACCATGTAAGAAGAAGGGATAGCCATGAAGCAATCGATTCAGAGTTTATCTTTTGGAAGAATTAGTTGGCACCGTGTACAGAGTTATCTCAGATCAACATTGTCTGTAATAAAGAAACTCGTGAACGCGCGGTTTTGGGTGACTGTCGTCAACAAAAGTGTTTCAACGATACTAGCTTGTGGCAGCATCTTGAGCGTCTAGTATTATAGATTTAAAGAGGTCAATATTGATATACAATTGCTTTATTAGCTTACCAAAAAAGGTGTCGAGCTCGCCGCTTAAAATTTACTTTGCCTTCCAAATCGCTCACATCACCATAAACACGTTTAATCGTCATTTAAAGTGTCTCACAAAGACATTAGTATTTCAGATTTAGAAAATCAGAGTATCCAAGCAACAAGAATACTCGGATAGATATAAAAGACTATACGGAACCTTGTCCATAACGATGTATAATAGATATCAAAGCTAACCTTTACAATCCGCTGCATGACTTCTTTGGAAAGTGCTATGTAAAAATATATGCATTAGTTTTCAGGAAATAAAACTGTACCTGATATAAAGTCACGCCGATAAATCTCTGTTGTGATACTTGTTTAACGCGTTTTATAATTCTGTCGAAACATACAAACGTATTCTATGTTAACTGACAAAGTCATGGAAAATAATATAGCCAAATTATATTAATTACTTGTCTGACAGCAATTTGATCGACTATCTGTTTGAATGGTAACAATCTTCAACCGAGAACGCTTGCATATGAATTAAAGGGCAACCGTGTACAAAACTTGAATGTATTGACTACTATACATATGACAACATATATGTCGCGGATACGCGTTGATATGTACTATATATGTCTATATATCCATTTGATTTCTGCAGTCCTATGTTCTACCTATATACGAAAGCAAGTATTATAATTTATGGTTTACATTAATTAGTAACAGAAATCGGTCGAAAATCGGGTTAGAAACGCTTATACGAAAGAAAAAGTTAACGCGCCTTAGATAGTCATATCACCCTCAAATAATTCAACGTTAATGATAATTTTTACATTTGGCAGCAGCATTCGACTTTGTGAGAGAATGGATAAGACATGGATGTGAAAGCACGCGGTAGAGTCTTGATAAAATCCGTAGTCTATCAAATTGCTAAATCTATAATAGCAGATTCTCTTCTTGGTTGATTTACAGCAAGAAAGAAATGGTTTACAAACGACTGTATACCATTACAGGTTTCTCTAACTGTAATTGTCAATAAAATCTGAAAAGTAAGTTAATATTTGACTGAAATTTGCTCGCTTCACATCAAATCCATCCGCTGTTGAACTATCATTTGTCGGCATTAATGTGAGAACTTTATTTCATCGTCTATTTTGGAAAGGAGTAGAAGGCTACAAACGAATCATCTACCCTGACATATTACAAGCAGGATAATAATGAACGTACAACTAATACATGCATTAACAAACCATCAATTACAGGTTCATACATAAAATTACTTGGTAAATATTACGAATCTTTAGCGGAATGAGAAAATATACAAGTGTCCATGAGAATATATATCAGCAAGGTGAAGTAAGAGTGCTATATCATGAGAGTATGAAATATAAAAATACAAAGTGAAAATATGGTAGGGATTTCGTTAAAAAGTAGATGAATGCATTGATCAGCTCTTCATTGCATCATCTCTTTTCTTTTTAAAAACTCTCTTCCTTCACATCATCCTTGATTTTACTCCATCGACCTGGGTTTTGACTCTTCATTGATTTAACAGCTTGGTTTAGTCTAGCAGGCGTTTGAATCATGCTCAAGTACCGTTCCCAAGTATCGGAACAGCGCGACGAGCGCGACGATTTTATGTGGGATGGCGATGGTGGAGTAAGATCGATTGTTTCGAGTGGCGTCATGCGGGAGGTTTCCGTTGGATTGGCGAGATTTGTCTGGTTCTGTTTGTTAGTAACGTTAAAAGTTAGAATTACCAAACGATAATCTTTTACAAAAAATATCAAACCGCATTCGCATGCTCTTTCTCTTTCCCCTTCTCTAGCGCATTGTACATACCTGAATCTTTTTAGCCCTTCTTCTCATAAACCATCTAATACCAGACCATCCAGCAAGTAAACTGCCTAGAACAAGTGCTACGACAACTATAATGACGACCAGTTGTATAATGTTCTTACGATCATCCTCTTTGTCACTTGCGTCTACCAAATCCCGTTTCGCAGGTACGGCAGTAATATTACCGTGGAATAACCCAACCATAATCGGCACTGCCGAGACGGTTAATGATTGGTGGAGGAAGGCAAGAAGAGTATAGAGGAAGAAGGATGACGGTTTATGAATGTTTAGAGCCATTGTTATTTTCGCAAGGTAGTGTAATGGGATTATGAGATTAATAGATTTTTCGCCTGTAGTGCAGTTCCGATATATGTATATATATATATATATATATGTATATATAGTCGATGGATAGTTCTATGGATGGTGTATATTCCCGCTGTATTGATGTATTCTAATGCTTGTTCAATGTATCAGCATTATCCTGATAAGGCCAATTGCTAATATTCCCGATGAAAGGTTACTATGCCCAGTGTTCCTCTTGTTACCCTCGATCAACCGAAAGAAAGCAGTCGTCAAGACAACGCTTTCAGCCCGCGGTTGATGAAGTGTGAGGTGAGTTAAATAATATCTCGACTAATTCGGTCTACTCCTCGACTTTGAGAAGAATGCTCCTATTAAATAAGGATAATTTGAGAGGTTAGGACAACGACATACATACATACATACACACACTCTCTCATGCATACAATTATAATTTGCGCGAAACGCACATACTCACTCTATTCTATTAGTATATTCGATTAATGCGGAGAAACTGGGACGTCGAGGTATTTTATATAAAACCGAAATGCTCTTATTGTTGAGAATTTGAAACAAGGAAACGTGGGGATAAACAAAGAGGAAGAAGGGCGTGGAGGAGTTGGATGGGTGAATGATTGGTTTCAGGTACAATATAAAAGAATTCCGAAACTCAAACGAAGTATAGAGAATATAGTATGCTGTATAAATAGCCGCATGATGGAAGTCGGTCCAAGTTGAGAATGTATTGATCACCATCTATAATTAACAAGAGAATGCAAAATTGGCACTTACGCCAATAGGAAAAATTACACGAGCATAGCCTAATTATAAGTTCGGTTGAAAGAAGTAACCGTAACAATCGTAAGGCCGATCCACAGCCAATAAATCCTAATAAGGCAATAAATAGCGTGTGAAGAGAGCAACAAGTTTCAAGGATTCCGATTACGAAAACGATGTTAGTACTATACCATTTGCAAATAGATTCAAGTCATATGAATTACTAGCTAGCGTTTACAGATTTAGAGCCGGAGATTATACGACACAATGGGGAAGCGAGAAGCACATACAAACTGCATGCGGCGCATAACAAACATTCAGCTATATGTACGGGTGAGGTGTACAATAATAACCAAAGAATTGGCTGACAAAGAATGCTAAATTCAGTAACTGGTCTTTCCTTGTCCATATTAAAACCATCTCTCACACAACGGCCGGTGACAATAATGGTCATATGGTAGCACTATATAAGCAATTCTAACAATTTACGACAGTGCTCGTCGTTTTGGTCAGGGAACTTGGTATGTAAATGGCCACAACAGCGTGAAATCCGTCCCTTGATTGAAAGACATGTGAGAACATAATTTCACATAGCGGTCTTCCCAACGGTTTACTGATCGATAACCCCACGACACAATAGCACGTTGTTTATAGAACGAATTAATTGGGTTTCAAAAAGATAATTTATCTCAACGACCAATTTGCAAAATAAGACACTATTGTGTCAAGAAACTTTCGCAAAAAGCATTTGCTAGCCAATAAACGATAAATTAGACACAGTGTCGAATTGATAGCCTCCCCATCTACTTTAATTTAATGTGGATATTACTTTTTACAGTGAAACAGACGTAATATCTCTCCCTTGTTACATACAACAATGATGTCACGATGGGAAAGGAAACCTTATTAATTTGATGTTTAAAAGGATATGAAACGTGCTGCAACAAGCAAACACCAAGTTTCTATCTACTTTACGTTCTATTCTCTTAATAAGATTTACTTATCTATCCTAAATATGTTAACTACCGCGAGTAAGCAAAGGACACAAAGCCAGTAAATAAATGAAATACTAATTAGAAAATTTGAGGTTCAACAATGTTTATAATTTTATGGGACGAGTTTTCTAAGCAGTCTGTAATTTTCAGGCGTAGTAGTTACTGTTTAATATAACTTGTCTTTTCTCATTTAAGGTTATCTAAACTCACGATAGCCGTTTGTAGATTAATACAGTACATTAGTATCACGCTGCATTGGAAAATGAAGAGTGTTAAGTACAAAAAGCCCATCTTAAGCAGTAGTCCGTGTGTGTCGACCACATTGAAAATCGAAATGTTCGGGACGGTTATTAAGCTCATTTCTTATTTCAGTTGGTTAATACAGTCGAACCTCCATAAAAGAACCCTCTTTAAAGGAACAACCTCTCATAAAGAACATTTAATCGTAGACGACTCTGACTTATTAGTAAATGAATAAGCTCTATAATATAAGAGAACACCTCTATGATAGAACATAGCTTGGAGTTTTATTGTCTAAACCTACGTAGAACATAACATGGCTGTCCCGACAATTTTAAGAATTAATATACAACTTGTCTCGGGTGATGCCAAACACAGATAATTATCCAAAATCACGCATTGCTAGCACATGCAATTAATTATGCAGTTCGTCAATCTCTACTTTTAATTTTATCATAAAATGCAAATTTGGTATTAATGAAAAACTTTATCGAGAACAACCAAGAAAAACGAAAAATAGAAATATCCCTTAAAACCGTCAATATTAACGCATGTCATATCAATACGACCCAACAAATGGCTAATTTTCAAGTCGTATGAAATTTGGCATGCTCCGGCCATGGAACTTCTCAAAAACGCTCAAGCGACCCATTTGTACTATATAACATGGTGACATACTTTACGTTATTAGGATTAGTATGTTGAATAATTTACAAAAATTAACTTTGGGATATTTATATCGATAATTAATATTCCCAATGAGAGTAAAATACTCTTATTTACACCCGAATTAGCAAACAAGTAAAATATCTTGTTTATTATTTATATAGAATGGACAAAAACTGTCACGATTGCTATTGTGAACACTCCTAGCGGCCAAATTTGCCGTTTAAGGGATAAAGCGAAGAATATAAATAAATTTCTTTTCAATAACATGTCAAAAACTAGGCATTCTTTTTTACTTTATTTAAAGTAAAAATTTCTTTGACAATTAGATTAGAATGATTAATTTATATGGTAGAAATTAATGGTAACCAAAAATTTCCTCAACCTTTAAATTACTTCCTTACTTTCATTTTTTTCAGTTCTTTAACTTCAATTTGAGCAATTTGCCCATTCCGCATGTTTTGTTGCTCTTTTAATTTCTTAATCTTATCCAATGACACTCGCTTCTGTTTTTTATTTTGCTTCTCGGATTTTTTGAAACTTATCCATTCCTCTCTTTCAATTTTTAATCCTTTGACAGTTCTCATTTTCTAGACAAGCACTAAAAGACTGAGTGATTAACTCTTTATCAGAAAATGGTTTAGTTGATTTAGCTTTTAACGCCTACAATCTATTTCTCTTTAACTTACCACATTTCTCACATCACAGAAGAGCATTACTTATATTATCAAATCTTTTTACACATAACCATGGGCATGAATTTCCTTCAAACATGATAGCAGGTCTGGTAAATAGTTCCAATACTCTTGTTTCTTGGGAAAGCTGAGAAAAGCTCCTGTCTTTTAGTACTTTAATCTTCAGATAAAAAGCGAGTTAATTGATGTAGCATATAGTAAGAAATGCTACCAAACAAACTGAGCCTACCTTCAAAATGGTATGCTGGATTCCACAATCAAGTATTTTAGCCAAGAAAGCAATGTCCAAGATGATATATAATCTGTACTTGAATGTAATTACCAGAGTCTGTTCTGATAGGTACTCCTTCGACATCGCCATAATGTTGGTATGGAGGACTTTTTTCCTCCATCTTGGACAATAATTCATCGAAATACTGATCAACTTTCTTAACCATCAATGATGACAACTTAATCTGACGGTATGAATGCGAATGTTCTTTGCCTTATCCCAATGTCGTTACGGTCAAATTTTTTTACGTGCTTTCTCTAAGCTCGACACGTCCCAGGATACGGTTGCTCAGCTGTTGTTATAAACAACGGTAAATCTGCTTACGAGGTAAGCTATTGGAATGGTTTCTCGCTAATATTCCTGACTATGCTATATTCTGTAAATTCGATATGCAACAAGTAACTCAAGCAGTTTTCATTAGTAACCGTTGAGTAATTGCCAGTAATAATGCAGTAATCGCCAGCATTAGAAACTCTTCCGTAAATACTGATAATAGAGTCGCGCGTATTTATCGAGAGACATTTATCTGGTATCTATGGCAAATTAAGCATGCGGTTTAAATTTGATGTTTACCAATGTTATATCTGATACGTCTGATGCGTTAATTGTTGTGCGAGCAAATGTAAATATATGTCAGCTCTTCTTGTTAAGTTGTAGTATTTCTTGTCGCGTGATAATTTGTCGGTTGCGGTTCTTCGATCTTTGCTACTGGGCATTAGCAAAATATAAAAATAGAAAATTCTTATATACGAAAAAAGCTCAATAGGACTTAATATTAAGCTTGAAATCTCGCGTAAAAATTATTGTCTTTGTTTATCGTTGATTGGTTAATAATCAAGATCGGTCAGTTATTTTGTGACATTATTCACGGTCACATAATTATTTTATTTTTATTACACTACTGCAATCCATGAACCCAAAAGACTTGATATTTTATTAAACATTTGTGTTCAAAACTTGTTGTACTGATACATACATGATAGAAATATTATTTTACACCGGATTTGATTATTCATCTAAAATACATTGCTAGAACTGCCTTGTTTAACTGTATGATTCCAACTCAAATATAGATTGACAAGGTTCTCCCATCTTATTATAAGCAGTTACCGTCATACTCACGTCACCGACGGATAGCTGGATATTAATCTCTCTAATCTCTCTGTCTAAGTACTCTACATCTGGAAGTCCCTATTGAGTGAAATTAATAAAGGCGAAAAGTAATTTACGTTAGTATTTTAAATAGATAAATTCAGAGGCTCAATGCTTCATAACAGTTACCACAGTAAGAGTTCCATACAACTGAACCTCGTCCTCATCAAAATACGGCACATTCTCCGCGGTTTTGGACGGCCCGCCCGTACATGTGAGTGAGTCGTCCGTTTGCGTTTCCTCCTTTTTAGTATATATCTTCACTTTGAGTTCTTCTTGTTCCGGATCCACCTTAACCGTTGTTGAATAGATGGCGTTTATGCGTTGTTGACCTCTTGGAACTATTGTTCTAAACAGAGGGACTGTCTCAGGGGGATTACCAACGTGATAGGACGAGTGAAGAGATGGTGAATATGGTGTGGGAGAACAAATGCCATATGTTAAAGGTAAAACGCGTGTTTCCACCGAACTTGGATCAAGGGCTTGTCGTCAAAAGAAAAAAGAGAAGGAAAATATTACTATTACTGTCGACAAAACTGTTAGGATTAACTAAAAAATACACACCATAGAATACCGAGCCTTTTAGTACGGCAGCTATCGGCTGAGCCGGAACTGTAATTTTCTTCACCTTGTCTTTAAACTCTTTTTTAATCCTCCTAACCAAATATTCGTTATTCGCAAACCCGCCAACGATAAACATAACGTCCAACTTTTCGCACTGAATAACCTGATCGTTTATCAACTTGATAATCTTATCGACAATAGGGTCAAAGAAAGATTTAGCGACATCAAAAGTAACGTCTACAATCCATTCGACAGATTTGAGTTGGGAGAGGTAAGGCTCAGAGACGAGATATCTGAGATTGGGACAAAGTTCCAGTATATCTAATCGGAATGGCCGAAAATTTTCTTCGATGCCAGTAAATTCGTATTTAACTTCCTTGATAAAAACATACAAAAGATATTTCCACTGTCCGTAATACTCTTTCTTCCACTTGGTCAATCCATCGATTCCAACAAGTTTGCCAAACCAAGCCTCAAATTCCTTCTCAACCTCCATTGCTCCACATATTTCGCCTGTCTGCATTGTGCATTCTCTTAATCTGTCATTTCCTATTAATTGCCTAACGGTCAATTGTACCGTTTCACCCCCACACGTTACAACAAGGAATTTGCACCCGACGTCTTCGTGATGGCCATGGAGTAACCGCATGCAGTATACGGCTGATGCTGCTGATTCGTAAACAAAGCGGAGGTTCGAGGAAGGGATTGAGAGGGCCTGCTCAAAGCATTCGCAAAGGAGTTTTTGGACAGAGGCAGAAAAGAACAACGGGATAGACAGTATAATAGAAGCATTTTTAGCTAAAGATAGAGATGGATAGACCGCCTGTAGAGCCTGTTGGAGTATCTGTAATGGAAAGAGATAAAATTGGCAATATTCTTAATATTCTCGTTGCACTTCGCTAACGGGTCGCTTTACTAACCGTTCCAAAATTTGTCAGATAGTCCACGACTGCCTTCTTCCATACTTCCAAGGCATCCTCCCCATCCTTGACAATATTCATCTTGAACGCTTCAAGTTCCTTGAAATTAGTATCCATTGAACCCATCAGTCGACGTCTTTTCCGTATCAATGACGCCTGAGCTTCTTCGCCCCATTGCACTGCTGTTTCTGTGATTGAATCATACAGGATACTAGTTGACGCTTTCAGATATCCTTGCCAACATGGCCTGTATTTGACAAGAGGCATAAGATAAACCAAATTCATGATAATGCAGACGGGATAAGAGCCATGCTCAAACTTACCAGTCATCAAAAATTTCAATCACATTGGGATTTATGGCATCTGCATAGGCAAATCCTGAGGCTGTCGTCCCAAAATCTAAGAATCAAAGCGAATTGCGATAGTATCCCGCTTGTTATTCTCTTCTATGTGCCATATTTATTTTCTTCACATTGAATTCTTCATTTCTCTGTAAGAATACTTACCAATTCCTACAATGACAATTGTTCCCTCCATTTCTTTACTTCTTTCGACGTTTTTTACACCATTTTTTTTTCTCGAATTTGATATTCTCCTATCTTTCTTTGTAGGCGTCTCTTTTTTCGTCTTGTCCTTTACACCAGATACCGGAGACGCCGAACGAGTAGACGATGATGAATTGGATACTCGAGATACAAGCGTGGGACGTGTAGAGTAATGAGATGCCGGACGGGGACGGTTAGTTGCATCGCTGCGGGGGACTCTGGCGGTGCTGATCAATAGCGGAGCACGAAATTCTTTTGGCACTGGTGAAGGTGGAGATTGGTCGGAATCTGACATTTCTGCTTGTTCCATGGGGTTTGACCAAATAATTTAGAGAATAGTTAGAGTGATGGGGTTGAGATGGATTGATTGATTTAGCAAATACTGCTCATTTGCAATGTTGCGAACTCGCAGTTATTTCCTTTAAACTTTATAGTTTATATTTCGGTTACCTAAACGCAATAACCTTTGTCCTGCATTCAAGATGGATTTGGAAATAATATTTATATGGTTAAGGCGCTTGAGAATTCCATTTAGACTGACATATTTGGGCGCACAATCGTATGTAACCGCATATGAATAAATAGTCATTCAGCAGTTAGCGTATACCAATAGTTATCGGTGCGCACAAGTTGATATGTTTGAGTTCTTGAAGCTTTCTGTCTCCTTTCTGAAATAGTTCTATATTCCTATTAAATGGGTTGACTTTCCATTATTCAAGTATGAGGGTAATTAAGTTTCTTGGGTTCACAGTTAATAATTATCATGTCGATCAAACACAGGCCCAAATTTGGTGTAGCAAGCTTTGACATGATTTTCGTAATGAGGACATATTTGGACTGTGTCATTGTTCAGCACATAACAAAGAAGACTGAACCACTTCATATAAAAATATAAATTACACCATCGAATGTTCCTTACCCACTCGCTCTGGATTAATCAATATGGTTGATAGCAACTTACTCTCTCCAATATCTGCGTACGATTCTAGAGGTCGTTCCAGTTTTCATTCACGCTCACGTTCAGTAAGCGGAGATCGTCGTCTTCAAGGTCGATCAATTACGCATTCACCATCGCCTAGTACGAAAAAGACGAATATTATAGATGGAAATGTTAAGATTGTTTTTGGAATAGGTAATGTTTCATGTTCATGACAGCATCTTGTGGAGGAAGTACTCTGCTTCTACTTCACATGTCTCTCTCGTCTATTCTGCGCTAATTCATACCCTCTCCTCCCCTTCACTATAGACTTTGGTTCAACGTCCACTGGTTTTGCTTTCTGCAATGTACTAACTCCAAACATTATAACCTCATTCGACTCGTGGCCACACCGTCGAGGTTCATACAAAACACCATCGGCACTCTTGTATGATGACAACCATAAACTCCTTGCATGGGGTGCACCTGCTCTGGCTGTTCGTCCGGCTAGACTACGGACTGCGGATAGAAAAAATGATGGAGACATTTGGAATAAAAATAATAGTAAACCTGTTGTGAATTTTAGAAATGCCATTTGTCAAGGCAAAAACGGAGGAGACAAGCTTAACTTGCCTCACGGTTTAACTAGTCCTGATGTTCTTACTGACCATCTAAGACAGATTACCAAGGTAGGCATGGGATGTGTTTATTCTGGGAATGGAGCCATTCCAACGTAATTATTCCAACATAATTAATTATACAATATGGTCATTTTGACATTAATTCCTACTAAATGCTTTCTTTTCCCCAATCTTTCGCATAGATGATCGAGAAATCACTTGACTTTAGGTGGCCAGGAATATCACTTCACGAGGAAGGAGCGATAATCATGGTAGTACCGAACGGTACTGATGCTGCAGATCACATGCATATACGGATATGTGCTGCTAAAGCGGGACTTATCAATGCTGAGAATGGATTATTAGAGATAGTAACTGAAAGTATGTTGCTATTCCAGACATGAATTAATCATGTAGCTTTTTACTCGTATACGGTTACTAACTTGCCATTTTGTGCTTTCTCTAGGCGTTGCAGGGGCTCTTTACTGCCAACCTTTAATATCTCACCATAATCTCAAAACTGATTTCTTCGTCCTCAATAGTGGCGGTATCAGCAGCACACTATCAACCTGTAAGGTTGACGAGCATTTCAATGTCTCTTCGGTCACTGATGTACTTACCCTACCCATAGGCTCAATTGATGTCGACAAAGAGTTTATTGACTTTCTAGAACGTAAACTCGGCTCGATTGCTATCCAAACTCTTAAAGAACAACATGACGGCCAACTTCAGTATCTGTTATTATATTTCTTCGATCAATTAAAAACACATTTTACGGGAAATGCAGAGACCTACACGCCGCTAGGGCTGGATTTGAAGGAATTTTGTCCAGCTGTTTGTAATCATATTCGAACAGATCTTAGACTGTTTCTAGAAGAGGATGACTGGATGCTTTACATTCAATATGAAGACGTGAAATCCTTTTTTGACAGTGTGATCAAAAAATTGTGCCATGAAATAAGTACTTATGTATTATGGGATAGAAGTCCACAGAAAGTATTGTTCTTAGTTGGCGGATTTGCAGAATCAGAATACTTTGTCAACAGCATGCGCGACACCCTCCATCAGTTTTCTCTCATTGCTGTTCCCAATCAACCAATTACGGCTACATCCCGTGGTGCAGTACAATATGGTCTAAAAATCACTCGTACGTATGCTCGTGTACTCTTTTACACGTATGGAATCCAAGTTACTCGTCCATGGATGGCAAACGATTTACCCAGGGAAAGGGATGTCAATGGAAATGTTACCGTCTTTCATCCCATAGTTCAACGTGGAACCGAAGTGCCCGTTGGTCGCAAGTTTACTAAAAACATACACGAATACCGCAAAAGCACGAATCAGCAACTTGAGTATAAAGTTTATCGAACGACAAAATATGTTGGGAAATACTGTGATGAAGAGGGAATGGAATTGGTTGGAACAGTAAAGGTTTTGAACGTCTGTCATGTTAGGAAAGTCGAATTTTCTTTGACTTTTGAAAAATTGGCTGTTGTTGCTACTGCTGCAGCCAAAGAATGGGCGAAAGCTTATTCCCAAGAGTTTGTGACTGAGCTGTAATTAGAAAGTTAGGGCGATAAATCGATTAGATATTTGTAAGTATATAATAAACCCGCGATTTTGTATTTATTTGCACACAGTTTAGTAAAACTATTCAAACCAAAATAAAATATATTCACACTTTTATCGAGAAGTAGTATTTGAAAGTAGGTCGAATTATTATACTCGCTACAGAAGCTTCCAAGTTGCGTAAATTTGACAATTTCTATAATTGCCTCATGCATTGCCTTATGCATTGCCTCAATTCCATTCAATGGCTTCTCCAAATTCCCCAGCTGAATTCACAACGATTCCGCCTACTACGAATTGAATAATGGGTTGCCCGGCTATGCAAGACGGACATAACCAGAGTTGACTGTATTGCAGAATTACCAGAGGAACTTGATGTAGAGCGTGCACTGAAACCGTTAAAGTGGTTGCAATGCATTTCGAATTAATTGCCTCGTCTTGTGAATAGTTGCAAGTGTGAAAATAATGAGATAACGAGTTTACAAGATATCACTGGTCTATTCCATCAATTCATGGTTGATAGAAAGAACGCTTTTTAATGTTCATCTAATATAACTCGTATTGAACCTTTCTTACTTCTTTCGCGCGAAATTCATCTTTTATATTGTTTAACCCTTTTGTTGCAAATACATCCATCTTGATGCTAATATCCCTTCACACATACGTGCGTCCTTTTATACAATGAGTATTTTATATTTAATTAAGAAAAAAAAATACAGAATCTAACTGTCAATAGAAACATGGGACTTGATTACATGAGCCGAATAATAGATTAGAGTTGTGTTCAATGCCGTCATTCATTAGTTTACATTACTTAGATCCCTTTCCCTTCTTAATCAGCCATTGAAGAGTTATGTCAATGTTCACCTGGTTCTTGGCTGAAATAGAATAGCAAGAAACCTCTCTGTTGTTGATTGATTTCAGATTCCTACATTGAATAAGATATCTCATTTCAGTATGCAATACGGGGTTACCTAATATGGAAATAAGATAGATACATATATCCATTAATATTCGACTCACATCTGTTCGATAATCTCTTCGACAGACAGCGCCTCGGGTAAATCGTTCTTATTTCCTAGTACTAATACTGGAATATTAGATAATTGGGGCTTATCTAACAAACTCTTGAGTTCATTCTTTGCAGCTTCTAATTTCTCCAGATCGGCTGAATCAAGAACAAATCTTAATCGAAGGTAGAAATTGTCAACATATATTTAAAGACACCCCAATTCCTGACCAAATTAGAAAGACTTGATACTTACACAATAGCATTCACACCACGACAGTATCTTTCCCACATATTTCTGAATCGTGGTTGCCCGCCAATATCCCATAGTTTCATTGTCACATTGCCTTTTGTGACTTTACGCATATTGAATCCCACTGTAGGGATCATGTCTTCAGTAAATTGACCCGACTATAAAATATCAGAGGAAGGCATAATTAAGTGAATAGGCTTGTTGTGCGATTACTGTGGTAGATACAGGACCACATGAATATATGGTTAAAACGCGATCGGGGCAATTAGCTGAATAGCAAACTGTAATCTCTGACATGTGTACGTTATGGAAAGGCAAGCCAACCCTAGCACGACCTCAATCGTGAACAAGGGGCGCGTCATTAACCGTCCACTCTAATTAAAACAACAGATTAAATTGAGTATAATTTTCATACAAGTTTTTAGTCGAATTATAGGATAAGTAATGTCATGACCACTTACCGACGGGTACTCATCGCTGTACATGCGAGCATTCTTCCTTCTTCATACCAACCGCACATTTATTCCCACCAACTTTTCACACTCTTCTCTGCCCAATACTTACTGCGATAACATTAACCAAGGTTGTCTTCCCACTATTCTGCAGTCCAACCAACGTAAGCTCAAGCTCGGTCTACCAAATAGATACCTTCACGTCAACATCCAGCGTTTGCATTAGCCCCCCCCAAATATCATACTTCTGAAGAGCATGTCGTTTTTACATACTATCTATGATGTGAAACATATTACTTGACTAATTCCAAACCTTGAAAAACAGGCTTCGAAGCCAATCGAGTAAGGCTCTAACAACACTAGCCATAATGAATGTCGATGGTCGTTTCGTATCAAACACAAGGGATAAACGAAGGGGAAGTTTTTCTAGCGAAAGAAAGATAGATAAAAGGGCTGAGGGTGTGATCTGAGCGTTGTGGAACAGGGGTAATGTAGTGACGACACGATTTTTAAAGTGACATTTCCGGTTGACATTCCCAAGAGTTTTTGCGTCAACAGAATTGCGGACGATAGAGAGACATATCTATTTATGAATTCATTCACCTAAGGCCTTGTTTACTTGATTTGCCTTCTATATCACTCTTTCGCTCTTTATTATTTTTTTCTCCAACCCTGATTCTGTCACTTTCGACTCCTTTTCCTATTCTTTCTCTTGATTTCATCGTCCCACCAAGAAATTAATATTTCCTGGAAGCATGAAAGACAACTTGGACTCTACAGGCATGGAGGGCCTGACAAAAGTCAAACCGCCGGGACGAATAGGAGTCGTTATTCAATACCTAGTTGGATATTTTCAGGAAGAGATGCTGTATGTGTTGGTACGTTGTTACATTCATTGATCCAGTTTGATTCTTATCGACGTAGTAGATGGTTTATTCGATTTCATTACTTGCAGACATATCTAAGTATGGTATTTGGTTTCTTGTATTTGTTGGGGAAAGTCATGTTAAAAGTGTTCTTTGGTGAATTGCGAGTGATAGAAACGCAGGTATTTATTCCGTTCAATATCTCTTTACCCTATGCTGCAATCAACATCACCATTATGCCCGTTTATCTTCTTCAGCCCTGATAAATCGACATAAAGACAAAGATCTCCATTCGGATTAGTCTTACCTTTCTATTGCGTTCTTCAGCGCATGTACGATAGACTCCTCAATTTTCTTTTATTTAAAGTGGTATTTATCGGCGCAATATTGGATCCAAGATGGGAAGACCTATTAATATGGACCACTTGGTTTACCATTCTTGGGTTTTTAAGGATATTTAGCATGCTTTGTCGTGATAGATTTGAATTTGTAAGTAAAGTTGGTTTGAAAACCGATTGATATATATGAATACTAACTTCATCAGTTTAATGTAGATGTCAACGACCAATGCACCATTTCAAGAACACGGACGAATCATTATTTTGCTGGTTCTTATTTTCATTGCAGACATATTCTGGTTCATATTGTGTGTAATTGTGTTTAAATCGATGTTGTTACTATTGACATTTGAGGTAAGGGAAGCTCGAGATAAGCATTTCAGTGACAATAACCTATATGCTGAATATGATCTCTTGATTACAGTGTGTAACACTTTTCTTGGACACAGTACAGACTTTGGTTAAATACATTATACACTTGAGAGATCTTTCTCGACCTGGTGTTTGGGAGTCAAGAGCATTACTGTTCTATTATACTGAATTTGTGACGGACACTTTGATACTGGTGGCTACTCTAGGACATTACATGCATATTATGGTATGTTCTTGTAGCACATACATTGTATACACTTTACTGTATTTTGTTAGAGCGAGCGATTATTTTGTAAACAATTGATATTCTTTCGTATAACGCAGATTCTCCATGGTATTTCTTTCACACTAATTGATGCCGTGTTATTCCTAAATATGCGGAGTGTGTTCAACAATCTAAGGAAAAAAATAGCAGCTTATCGCAGCTATAGGCAAGCAATAACAAACATGCAAGCACAGTAAGTAAACAGACGTTGATTCGGAAATGCAATTACAAGTCAATGGAATTCAATTATATTCTTGAATCCAACAGGTATCCAAGTGCATCAGAACAAGAATTAGATGAATATAATGATGACTGTGCTATATGTAGGGACAATATGACACAAGCAAGAAAGCTACCATGTAGACACATGTTTCATTTGTCATGCCTCCGTTCATGGTTAGAGCACCATGAATCTTGTCCGACTTGTCGAAGACCACTTGTCAGAACCAATTCTTCTCTCCAAAATAGGTCGTGATGAGAAGGTGCTATTGGCAAATCTGTTTGTTACAAAAGTGATGGACATCAGAATATCTTGTAAATAAGAATGGAGCTCTATAAAACTTCATTCTGTTTATCGTTGGCCATCCATAGTCTCGCACTCTGGAGCTTATCGACTTGTTCCACTTTTAATTATAGTATACTTCTATTGATCATTTCTTTTAAACATAGACACAACATCTCCCTTTTTATCTCATGTAATATATTCCCTGTGTAGATACAGAAGAACGAAATAAACAAATTCGCTTCATTCTACGAGTTGTTTCTACTCCCTCTCTTTAATATTTACAATAGCCGTAAGCCCTGGGAAATGCAGTAACATCTCTGATATTTTCCACCCCAGTCAGATACTGCAAAAATCTGTCAAACCCAACACCAAAACCACAATGAGGTACAGTACCGTACTTCCTTAAATCTAAATACCATGAATATTCCTCAGCAGACAGTCCAGCCTCTTTTATCTGCTTCTCCAATACCTCGTACCTTTCTTCCCTCAAACTGCCTCCAATGAGTTCACCGCCATGTGGAACAATCAGATCAACACAGGAGACTATGCTATCGTCGTCATCTCTCGCCCGCATGTAGAACGGCTTGAGATGTCGAGGGTAATCTGTAATGAATACGGGACGACGACAGTAAACGTTTGCAAGATATTTTTCGTGTTCCGATTGTATGGCGGAGCCCCATTTTGTTGGAAAGGTAAATGTTTGCCCAGAAGAGTTAAGAGCATCCAGTGCATCCTTGTACGTCATCCTGACGAAAGGAGAGTTTACAGTCATTGATAAGCGGGACGTTAGAGTTGGGTTAAGATATTTGGCAAAATGGTGGATCTCAGCTGGACAAGTTTCTATTACGCGGTTTATAATAGATTGTAGAAGGTTCTCCACAAATGTAAGCATTTCATCTAAAGAATCTATAAATGCCATTTCGGCTTCAAGCATCCAGAATTCGGCTAGATGCCTAGAGGTCTGAGATCGTTCTGCTCGAAACGTAGGTCCAAAAGTATATACTTTTGATGCCGAACTAGATAATATTTCTAAATGTAACTGACTGGAAACTGTGAGATAAACTGATTTGTCGAAGAATTCACTATCAGTCTCAGTCTCGGTCTCTTTATCTTTATCATTGTCGTTACCATTACCGTCCTTTTCGGTTGATACTTTAAATGCCTGTCCCCCCCCTTCACAGTCGGATGTAGTTATGATGGGGGTTTGAACATTGAGAAAATCGCGTTCCTATTAAATTGTGGTTTGAGCCTTTGATTGAGTTGTAGAGTAAGCGGTATTCGAATGAAATATGCACTCAATAGAGATGCGGTTCACCTGGAAAAAATTATGAAAGGCCATTACAGTTGCATTACGCGTGCGTAATAATGCGCTGCCAGTGTTTCCTCGAGATCTAAAGTGGGATATCTCTCTAAGGAATTCTGGCGTGTGATGTTTCTTTTGCAACGGGTATGTCTGTGTATAAATAGTCATGAGTATGTGGTCAAAATCTGCAGATATCTTCTAACGAGATTAGCATACAGCGGCGTCACATTGTCCATAAATCTTCATATCTTCTACTTGTAATTCTTTCGTTTGCTCTGTGCCTTTACTTTCAACGAGTTTGCCACGAAACTGTACGCTTGTCCCAGTCGTCAATCTTCAAATAGAAAATGATTGTTAAAATATTAACGCGGATTTAATTGCAAATAAACCATTCCTACAAACTTTTTGGCATGATGTTCTGAGAGAACTGCTTGCAATCCTTTCAGGTTTGAGCCATCAGCAATATTAGCAAAACAAATCTTCTTTTGCATTCGAATTGATCTTATCCATCCATTGACGCATACTCCAGTGTCTATTGGGGTTGTTTCGATGATGTTCTTTATAGTCTTTGTCGACAAAGAACGGCTTAATAATTTACAGGTTCTGGCTGGTAATATTTTATTTTGGCTATAAAACATCATCTTACGTGATGGCTTTCGCAAATCAAACTAGCATTTACCCTCCAAAAAAACTTTTTGTGGAAACGGGGGGCTGCATTGTCAAGCCACAACAACAATCCACAAATATATCTAGATTCTGTTTTTACTCATTAATTTCCAAGATGCTAACTGGAATTTCGAAATTTTTACATGTCCACATCGTTTGTTTATTTGGTAGGGTTCGTTTACTAATGTATCTAAGTTGGGCAACTACTATTTCTCCGGAGAGAATCAAGGCTCCATCAATCATTTTCATCTCGATCCACAATTTCGGTACTTGTACATCTCGGACGTTGGCGAGATTTTATCGAACGGTTTTTCGTGTTGTCTTTCTTGTTTTTCGATTCATCATATTCGACACCTCAAAAAGAGGAATGATAATGGCATCAAATTCGCGAGTAAAAAATGCGCCACTCTTTATAAACTTCAGCTTGATTTTTCGTCGCATCTGAAAGATTGTCTTATCAAGTCGCAAGGCCTTTTTCTTCTTACATTTTGAACTAGAGGCAGCCAGCTTGTTCTTCATAGAAAGAAGATTATCCATATGCTTGCATAGACGATGATTCGTCCAATGTCGTATTGGCATGTGAAGGGTGTATGAACGCCAGGGTCAATGGAAACCGCATGAAACAGAACTATCGCTTGGGTTTCGCGGAGTTGTTTTTGCGTCTCGTAACCCATGAAAATTTCCCATTCATTAGTTGTGCGAATATACATGTAAGTGATCTTGCAACCTGTCTTTTTTTTCGAATGAAGAGGCCACAAATCGCACACGAATTATTATCGTGTCGTAAATCTTTTCGAGATCGAAATGACAAAGACGAACTTTATATTTTGGTTAATTATCTTGTCCCTAAAATTAGTTAAATAAAAACAAAAGTTTGCAGGCTTGCCTTGCCATGTGTACCTTAATATTAAGGCAGCATTCCAATACGCACAACAGTTCGCACGAGTTCACCCCACCCTACACCCCACCCCATACGCATGATTTTCGAACCTCTTGTCCTCACGCTCATTAACGCCTTTTTCTACACAAATATCCGTGTAAAGCTTAAGCTTATCTTTAATATTAATAGGTTGAGACGTCGATAATACAGTCCCCGGCGAAAATAATGGCGGTGACAATCGTCTTTACAAAAATCAGTTATCGGCTATTATAGTACAGTAATATGTAAATGTATTATTACTTTTCTTATTTACTTAATAATATTAATATGTCAGACATGATTAAAAATACCCTTGTCTTTATTATTATATTAATATTTGCATTTTAATAATCTCAGTGAGATTTGGATTGACTATAAACTTATAATAACAGTCTCAAATTTACTATAATAATAATATATAAATGTTCGCGTATTTAGACTTGTTAATATTAATTAAAATTTGGAAGATTACAAATCAAAAAATATAAAATTTGCCTAATATAATCTAATCTGTTAATGTAAAAAAGCTTTTACATTTGCTTTTTGTCAACTTACTCAAAATTTTATTCATAATATTAGGGTTTAATTAATATAGATCTAAAAGGAAGCCACTCCACAAACGACTGCACCTCGTCGTCGATACGTTCATCCAAGCTCTTCTGCAATCCTTGATGAGCCGGGACATAGAGAATGAGATGACGAAGAACTCGATGACTGAAGGGAAGGCGCAATTGGAGATGATGAATGACCTCATATCATTGATCTCTGCTTCGTTTATTGCTTGTTGTATCAGAATATTATTATTATTGGTTGGATTCATCGAAGAAATGATAACGATAGAACAAGTATTGGAACCCTTATTTTATCCAAACCCGTCGCGATGGACCAATATGCGAATCTTTGGTGTAGAAACGGCGGTATCGACTCCAGCGGACAACTGCATTATAATAATAATAAGCATATCTCGGCCCCAACCACCGTTTCAATAACTGCTTTTGAAGGTGATTTGGATATACTTTGATTAGCAGCGCACGATGAAGTGTTGTCATTTGTTGCGTGCTGCTGTTGTCCTGATCTTACGCTTTTTTCCTTGTTTGGGGTTCTCGTCGGGTGACTCTTCTTCCTTGCTTGATTGCAAGGAAAGTTCGTGCTCGTCGGAGGTCGCTTCGTTGACGAAAACCATGAGTTTTGTAGTATGGGGGAGTGGGGTGAGGTTACGGCAGAGTCGGTCACAATGGAATTTTGCGTTCTTTATTTGTTTCTTTATTTGTAGAGTCGGTCACAATGGATAACCACAATTTCTGAGACCATGGTGCGACTTTTCCGTTCCAATAAGGTCTTTAAGTTCGTAGGAGGAGCTGACGAGTTGTTCGTAGGGGGAGCTGACGAGTTGTTCGTAAGGGGAGCTGACGAGTTGTTCGTAGGGGGAGCTGACGCGTTGTTCGTAGGTTGGGGAGCTAAGGACATCCTTTTGCTTGAACCCTTTTTTGGTGGTGGTGGCGGTGACGGCGGCGGTGGTGTTAGCATCGAGGAGAGAGTTTATGTGTTTACGATTTTGAATGATTTTGATTTTCAAATTGCAATGGATATTTGGGGGATAATGTCTTTAAATATGTTTATGGTCGGTAATACCAAGGCAAATCCGTCCGAGTGAGGAATGATTGGCTCCAAAGATACAGTGCGCGAAAATACGCGTCTAATCAAAACAGTCAACTAATACGTTTTGTGATATGTATGTAACACCGACAAGAAAACTCAGTCACATAACTTTGCTACTTGGGTCATTGTTTTATTTGTTTACACTTTTGGTTTTGTTATTAAAAATACAACGACAGGGTTTTGTGATTGACTGACGTCGCAAAATTATAACCACTCTGTTGGCAAAAGACGCCTACACTTTACATAAATCAACTTTTATTTTGCCTTCTTCTAAGTGTACGATATTAAGAAGCTTAAAATAAAAGTTTTTGGAAAGAGCTTCAATTTCTCGTTGCACAATTAAATAAGTAACAAAGCCGGGCCGATGTCAAAACCAGAATAAGAGCAATGGTCATCATTGAATGATATTAGATTTTATTAAATGTTAAACGTCAAGAGCCCACATACGTGAAGTCAAGTCATCCAATTTTCACGAAAATTATCTAGTAATCATAAGTGTCGCTGACCCGTAATATTTGAGCGCGGAGGAATACGTCATCGTTTACGCTTGATTGCAATTGGTAACTTGCCTTGTATTTATTATTATATTGTGTCACTCTTAATTCTAACCACGAGGCGGCAATCGTTTCGCTTTCTTTCTCTCTCTCTTCTTGTAGCTTGGTTTCTAATAGCTTTGGTTGATTTCGAAGACTTCTCTCATTTGGATTGACGTATTACCGAAAACTGATAAGGGTTTGTTTGTTATTATTATTATTGTCTAATCAAGTAGCTTAATTTGTGAAACGTTGATACGACATACCCCAATTTAGCACTCTGTAATAATAACTTTATTCAGTATATACCATTACGTGTCGATACTAATACACATATTATTGGTCAACCCAGTTTCGTCTTCTTCAAAATTTTTCTGCTGCTAGCTACTGGAAATGCTAGATTTGCCGACGGCTCAATCAGACGGAGAAGCATCAAGACGACGCGAATCACACGACGATCAGGGACCAACCAACATGTTTGACCCTTCGGAGGGATACAGCGAACTGAAACGAAGAGAATTTAACGATGAGCAAGACAAGAAAGAATTGGGTTTTGATGACTGGTCGAACAGCCCTACAACAGTTGCCGACAGTTACCCTGGGCTGAGCATGCAGGATAAGAAAAATTTTGCGCTGCTTGTTACGTTATGTAAGTAAATATGAAAGAGATCACAAAAAAATCAATGTTCGAGTCGGTTTCCTTTGTTATAACGTATTCGGTTTGTGTCCATTCAACAGATCTTCTCCAAGGAATTCCTGTGGGCTTAGCATCCGGATCGATCCCTTTCCTCCTCAAATCCAAGCTTTCTTACGGTCAAATAGGAATATTTTCACTGGCTTCCTATCCCTATTCCTTGAAACTTTTATGGTCGCCTATTGTAGATGCGACATATTCTAAAAAAATTGGAAGAAGAAAGAGTTGGATCATTCCTATTCAGATAATGATGGGAAGTTTGCTCTTCTGGCTTGGATTGCACATTGATGAAATGTTTACGAATGTGAGTTATAGTAATGATTGAAGCATACTTGTTTAGGTTGGAGTGAACGATTGTGTGACTGAATGTAAGAAAATTTACTAGAAACCGGACATTCCTACTTTGACATTCTTGTTCTTTACCTTGATTTTTCTTTCCGCTACACAAGGTAAATCAACTGAATGTTTGTGTTCTAATATTAAATAACTCAAACAATACAAATACTAACTCGTAACTTTATTCAATTTTTAGACGTCGCAGTAGACGGTGAGTTCTTCTGGCCTGATCCGCATATCTATTGGAAATGGTAGTATCTCAACTTTCACGTGATATATTTAATCAATAGGTTGGGCTCTCACATTGTTATCGAAGCCAAATCTATCATACGCTTCTACCGCGCAAACGGTTGGGTTAAACACAGGATATTTCTTGTCGTTTACCGTGCTTTTGGCATTTCATTCTGCTGAGTTCAGGTAATATGAGTTAAGTGTGGCGTGGAGAGGAATGCTGCGTAGTAACACCGACTGACTCACATGCATTCTAGCAATAAATATTTCAGAAGTGAACCGAGGGATGAGGGAATACTGCAGCTGGGATCATATTTGACATTCTGGGCATTTATGTATTTTGCAGTTACGATATGGCTTATATTTGGCAAAGATGAAGAACACATTCAGCATGACGACGATATGATGGACGTCAAATCTGTTTATACAACAATATGGAATATCTGCAAACTACCTCGTAAGAATATAAATACATTATCAGGATAGAGGGTGTTTGATATAATGATGAGACCGATTTAATTCTAACAATTTATTGCTATAGATATGAAGAATTTCATTTTGGTCATGCTTTTAGCCAAGATCGGATTTATAGCTAATGAAACTGTGACTGGTCTGAAACTCCTTGAGAAAGGATTCAACAGAGAAGACTTGGCCCTTACTGTCTTGATAGATTTTCCTTTTCAGATAATATTCGGTTATTATGCAGCCAAATGGAGTAGTGGTCCACAACCTCTTAATCCAGTTGAGTGTATTAATGTTTATTGAGAATACTTTTTACTGATAGATGATACTGACATCATTATATATATTGAAGTGGCTAAAGGCATTTTATGGAAGATTGGCGTTTGCTGTTACCGGAATGTTAGTTGTATTGGCATTTCCAAGGGATGGGGTTGTGTCAACTGGATACTTCCTTCTCGTAATCGCTAGTACTGTGTTCAATTCGTTCATGAGGTGGGCGTTGATTCATTTCTGTATTATATGTAGTAAATACCGTGCTAACCTTAACCATAATGTGATTGTTTTATTTAGCACTGTGCAATTTGTCAGTATATCTGCATTCTTTACTACAATTGCTGATCCAGTCATTGGAGGAACTTACATGACTGTAAGTTACGAAGTTCTTTGAACATATTTGTAATGAAATGCTGATTTAATAATGGCTTTAATTATTGTTAGCTATTGGCTACCTTCAGCAATTTTGGTGGAACTTGGCCAAGATTTTTCGTGCTGGGTGCGGTTGATTACTTTACAGATGCAACGTGCTCAGTATTGGATGGAAATAGCGCAGTATTGAACTGTGTCGGTGAACAGGAAAAAGTATTATGTAAGGATAATGGAGGGACTTGTATTATAGATCGAGACGGATATTATGTTGTATCCGTGATTTGCATAATTTTAGGCGCATTGGCGCTGTTTGGTTTTATAAGGCAGGAGGTCAAAACTTTGCAAAGTAAGTTCATTTACATTTGTAGTAATATCACTTTGTTCTTACTATACTCATTCATGTTTGTTTGCCGTTCCTCTATTAGGATTGGAAATAAAGAAATGGGGTCTATATAGTCATCGTTCTAGAAGAGGAAGTTAACGATAGTTTACTGCGGTAATAGACATTCATAGAATCTGTTTATAGAGAAAATAAGTTTAGCACTATTATTACTACTTATAATTTTTGTTTTTGGAACAATTAAAAGAGCACTTTAAAAACATGTAATATTTTGATATGTCCGCACATCTGTTTGTTTTATACTATTTGATTTATTATACTAGACTTTTTTTACACAGTTTATTTTGAAATATTAACTTTCTTATTATTATTCGATATAGTTTCTGAATTTTATTATTATTGAATTGATTGTGTAAAGCTCTTATACAGTATATTAATATCAGAGAGCTTAATGAAGATGAGCTGAAAGCTTTAGTGGTACTTGAAATAAAAATGATCTTAAGAGCGAATATTAATATGCAATACGTTCAGGAAGACGGAATCATATTGTGAGATTCGAATTGGTGCAGATTTCCGGACTTGATAATAATATAGGCATTGTTAAGCCAAAAAATATTACTGAATTAGAGGCATTTGTGGGTGAGGTGTGGAGAATATTCCGGATAGTATTGTCTTGCAAGCGAATTAATTATTAAATTTGATTAATAATATCTATAACGCGTCTGTCGATTGCTTGCAAATTTGTCAATTGTTTTTCCATGACGTTAGAAAAGCGTGTAATCAAATTTAAAGTTACACAGCTTTCAGATACATTATTCCATAATAATAATTTTAACGTTTTAACATTAAGAGGTGAATTAGAATGTGAAAACCAGAAATCATAAGAAAGAATGGAGCCCACAAACACGCGATATTACAATACTGCCGCGAAATACACTTGGCCACGCCGGCACCAACAGTTCGTGGACAGCACGTCTGGTTGTTTTGGAGGGCTGCTATACAATGAAACGGCTGCAAGAGGGAAAGAGTGGGAGTATTTGAACGAAGCACTTGGAAGTAAGAGATTAACGTCCATAATCGTTAACATGAAATGGTTATTTACAAAGTCTCTCGTTGCACGAAATTAATATGATCCATCAACTAATTTATCTTTGTTCTAAAGAAAGCCGAAAGCTGAGCGCAACAGCACTTTCCCCCGTATACCAGGTCTTTCCTCACACTCGTCAAAATTTTTCAACTATAAGTGCTGACAGAGCCAATGAATTTTCTGTGGTAAGCAAATATATTTACGGCATAATTGGAGAACTTTGTTTCTTTTCTGTTAATACAGTCAATAAAATGAATATGAATTTGATGTTGATTCTGGCATTGATAAGCATAGACCAACTATCTGAAGGAGGAATGCCCTGGATTCGATTTTCCCATCGAAATGGTTACTGATCTCGTTCGAGAAAGCATGCTAAGTCAGATAGAGTGGGAGAAAAATGATCCATATCTGGGCAATCGAATCGCTTCCGGAACGTTTGATAATGGAAAGAAAAAAAAGAAGTTCCTCGCTTTTCCGATGGGGCTCCATGGGAGTGAGCTGAGTAGGTTGATTCTTAAATTTTATTACCACCGTCCGTTATAATATTTCTTATCAATGTCTGATCGTTTTATTTAATGTAATATAAGACTTATCGCTACTCGATTGGAACGAGAGCGCCTATGATTCGAAATCCGATATAGACCAGTATGTATTGCAACCGTCAGCAGAACCTGTACTGCAATTTAAGGCTCCGATCAGGCAAATTGCTTGTTCAGAAGATTTTGGTTCAGCAAATCCATGTACGCAATTTGTCCTCTTCATCTCGCATATTATGATTGCAATTAATCTTTTAATTTTTGCAGGTTTGATGGCGGTGAGAACGACGACAGCAACAACGTTTCTGACACTCGTTCCAAAGGAAAAACGCGATGGTAAACGAGACTTTCCGCGTTCAACGAAGGCTATTGCGATAGATTCGGTTTCTAATATGGGATTGGCCGCAACATCAGAACACATGCATGTTACATTTAACCCGTTATTATACGGAGAAGCTGCCATTATTGATGGAAGTGGCAGCGTTCATATATGGAGAGCTATGTTACAAAAGAAAATTGCGTGAGTTATTTCAGCGAGCGATCTTATTTCTTGCAACAATGAAATTAACGTTGTGTTCTTGTTATTGAATTCTGCTATTAGGCGGTTTGATAAATTTGAGTATAATCTTATCCAACTGTCAGATCGCTCCTGCGATACACCTCAGAAGGACTGGTGGGCTCGTTGCGAATATGGGGCGCACCCACAGTCGTTGTTTGTAGCTTCTCGAAGAGAAGCGAGCGTTCTGGACTTTAGGGTAAGTATACCTTTTTATGGTAACGGATTCTAATCCCGAAACTGACTATTCACAATCAGCAGACTCCATCCAAGACACATTCTTCCGCATTGTTTGTTTCAAAGCCAAACGAAAATATCTATGCATTCCAACGTTCCCCGGCATGGCATTCGTTTGAATCGGTAATAGCTACAGACAAACGTGTTATCGTTCTCGATCAACGATTTCCAAAACGTCCCCTAATAGATTGGTTGTCGTATTATCCGCAAAACCCACCCGGAGGAATAGAAGTAATATCAAATAATGACGGTAATATAACTAATAGAATGCGCGTATTCTTTACAACTTAACTCCCACCTAACTGCAATATATTCCTTCCCTAAGTCACTGTTGCAGTATGTTGGTCCGCCGTAAGTGCCAAGATCAACGCATTTACCTTTAACCGGACACCCTCGGGTACTATCAGCTCGCCGATAACTCCAACAGCTATCACGTCCTTTCACCAAGACCCGCTCTTTCTTAAATCTCGCAATAGTATAGCTGATTGTGACTTTCTTGCAGAAAAGCAATCCCTCCCCGAAGAACTCATCTCTCCGAGTCTTCTTCCGCCGTTATCATCCGTCCTTCTCCTAAAAGGTCAATTAAAGATGCGCGATTTCTCCAAGGAAAAAAAACATCGCACGGGAAGAAATCAAGAAAAATTTAGGTTTAAGAGCGAGGAGGTTTGCAGCGTCCTGCAACTTACGAGCACTGGTGGAATATATGCTCAGGTAGTGCACTTTGGATTGGTAGAAAAGTTAGGAAGTTTGCAGCATACAGACGAAGAGAAGAACCGAGAATTATTTATTAAAAAAGAGTTTTCGAAAGAGCTATTAGATTTGGAGGCCAAGTCTTTAGAGGAAAAGGTTGAGAACAACAAGTTTCATCAATTATTACAATTTAATCGATTATGGGACTTTACAACTCGGGAGTTCAAAGGCTCGCTACTGACAGAATCTGATTTATCCGCATTAAATGGGCGTGCATCAGAACACGGCAGAGGCGAACAGCCTTATTCTACAATACAATCTCAACCCCAGTGCAATTCATCTTCTGTTCGATTTCCACAATCATCATGTCTTGCACCGAATTCATCATTCTTTCCTTTGTATCTTTCAGCCACCTTCGTTTCTTGGGATTCTCTCTTTTATTATCTCAATAGTTATGCTCATTTTCATAACGTAATTTTACGTCCCTCATCATCTACTTATTCTCCTACCGGCTTCCTTACGTCTGTTCGATTTTATTGTGTTTTGTTGAAGTGTACATGGACGCTTGTTTGCAAAACTAACAAATCAAACGGGAACGTAGTTTTGACGCAATTTTGGGATATGCATAGTCACAAGCTAGAAAATATAATAACAAATGACGATTCTTCTGTTAGCGATGAAGAGGCCCGTGAAAAGGATAAGAGCATTAAAGGTGTTAATAAAACCAAATACACCGGTTTAATGAAACGCTTCACGAAGAATTTGACGGGTACTAGACGATTTACAAAGGCTGTTACGCAGACAAGTGGCATAGAGTTATCAAAAGAGCAAGTTAATGAAGCCAGTCAAAGTGTGGGACATCCAGTTACTGCGTATCCTTGAATTTGGGAATTTTTCTTTGAGTATCAACATTCAATCATTTTGTTTCTCTTAACTCTTCTTGATATTTATCAATAGCTTCGAAATAAGAAAATATTGCTCAGGCGACTCGATGCAACAATTCATATATGAAGACTCGGTAAAAAACTCTGACCGCACGCCTATTGATTGGAATTATGCTGATCCAGGCGTATTTCTTGAGAATCTTCCGTCAAGAAATGAAAATTCTTTGTTTTTAGGTACTCTGAAGAATTTTGGCTTCCCAGTTATGGAAGACTGTGTTGCTCCAACAGTACAGACGTTAAGGGAAAACATTCAAGAAAACCTATGTAAAGCGTATATCGCGCCGATTACAGACGGCTCTTCAACTACATCAGCAAATGATTTGAAATTTCGCGAGTTTGCAATATCCGAAATCGCAAACGACCTTCTCCTGAGTCAGGAAATAATCAAACCATGGATGGGTAGCACGGATGAATACCAATACGTTTCTGATCTGTACCACTTTTCTAAACAAGTGGCCACTTCAGAACGGTGGAATGCGTCAGGAATTACGTTACGCAAATCAGCATGCGATAAGGAGATAGAATGGTCTACAGCTACTCGATGGTTGATAGATGATTGGAAATTGGGTCAAAATTATCGGGATTACGTATTCGTGACACCGAATAAGGCAAGGAAGGAGAATGGCGGACCTACGAGAGAGATGAGCGTTGGGAGTACAACAGATATATATGCTGATCTCCATCATAGTTTGGTAGATATTTCAGCGTCAATTGGCGAAATAGTTAATACAAATAACGGTGAGAGAAGAGAGGTTATGATGGACGACGAGCTACTGATAGTTGAACCATCAACTGCTGGATCTGCAATGGACGTGGGTATCATCGATGATGAGCGAACGCCAAAAGATATTACGACAGTTATAGCTACTTCTGAAAATCAGAAAAAAGAGAAACCAAAAAAGAAGAAACCGCGACGTATGGGATTTTAGAATATATTCAGACGCGTCTTTACACATTTATTGTAAGGTGGACAATTCTTTGCCTCTAATATACCTCCAACAAAGTAATATAGCTTAGTTGTCCTGTTGAGAAAGTACGGGAAGTCGATCTGTCATATCTATGTAGTTTTATAATTTAGGTAGACGAAAACATGCGACTGTAAATAGCCTTTTCTTTAGACTGATAACGACTTTGAGCACTTATTATAGATTTCTGGAGTGCCTTTAATGAAGTCTCCGTTGGTGCAATCTAGAAAACGGGATTAGTAATGGGTATTAATTTTCTAAACTAGTCAAATTCTCTTATTTGTAGATAGCTGAATAAAGTATGAAATGAAACAACGAAAGACAACCTGCAAACCCTTTGTGATAGCATCAAGTCCCTTCTCGAATTCATTCATTCCCAAATAAGCTTGTCCTATTCGATAAATAACTTTGATATTGTCCGGGTCCTTTGATAACACCTGTTAATTCCCAGAGTCAGTCACGACTTTAGGCGCGCAAAAACTGTATTTATACGGATTGCCTTTACCTTACGACAATACTTTTCGGCATCCTTATAATTCTGCTGGGCTAAGAAACAAGCGGCTATATTCGAACCCAAAGCTACTTCCATGTCTCGGAAAGTCTGATCGAAGACTTCTTCATCATTTGTTGACAACTGTTGATCTGCTCTCTCATCTTCGATTATTTTGAGTGCCTGAAAATTAAGTTCACATTCAGAGTATTTTTTTTTTCAATGTCAGATCTAAAGACACCGAGTAACATACCTTTTCATAAAATGAAAGTGCTTCTTTGTAATCTTGGTTTTTGTAGTGGTCGTTTCCTTGTGCCTTCAATTTCGTCAATTTCAACAATTTACGCGAAATAGAACTCTATTTTTTATTAGAAAAATATGTATTACTGTTCTCTTGAAGCGTCGTCATATAAAGATCACCTCGTTATTGTTACCTCTGAAAATTTTAACAACTCAACTTCGAATTCTAACTGACAGGTTGGCGGTATGTATGATGGAGATCCCACTTCTCCGTAAGCTTTCTTTCGCACATTCGACAGTTAATCAAGACAATGCCAAAGTATTGAAGCTTCTTTGTGAAAACTATCCGACTAGATCGACGCGGACTAACTCACCGTATTCCGGAGAAACAATCGCTTCGCATAGTTCCCCAACGCGCATACTCTTGATTATCAAGTCAAATCCTTTAATCAGCTGGCCTTTTTTTTTTTAAAGAATATGGGAGAAAATCATAAGAAAATATACTTTCACACCGATATAGCATGAACTTGTACCAACCAGTGCCTATTGATGCCGTAATTGGCATTCCATATTTCCCTCGCGTTGTTTCAATAATGTCAGCTTTTTCTGGCTTTGGGTTTTCTTTCTGATCTTTTTGACTCACTCTGCTAACATAATGGACTAACGCAGTGTTTTCTCAGTAATCATTCCATTGTTGATAGCAATTTCGCCAAGCAATTAACTAGAGTATCTAAGAATTCTTACTGCGAATATACCAGTAACAACTGACAAGGGAGATGGAATAGGTCCATTTCCTTCACGGATTATCCTTTTTTTGACACAATTGTCGGATGTCAGTGGCTTGTAATCATTTGGAACACTTTCTGATGACATGTCTGCTTGAAAGTTTTAACCGATGATCAACCGAGTATTTATGTAAATCACGAGATTTACATCCGCAGTCAATATTTACCGCAACGTCGGATATCACAAATATATCTCTTGCTAGCCTTACGCCTCAGAGGAGATCGGATATCAAATATATCCCTCTTGCTAGACTTATGTTCCCCCAACTTAAAAAAAAAATTCTTTTAAAAAAAAAACAACAACCTCAAACCAAAGTCCTCATTTTGAATTTTTTTTTTTTTTGGAAAACAACAACGGCTGCCGTTCAATGAACATTAACTTTTTTAGAATCCGCAACGTCGGATATCAAATATATCCCCTTTACTTTCTTGCTAGCCTTACGCCTCGAAAGAAATAGACCATGAAGCGTTTTTAGAATCTGCAACGTGGGATATCGATCGATTCAAATATATCCCCCTTTACTCTCTGCTAGCCTTACGCCTCAGAGGAATCTCCAACTGCGACACTCATTCGTCCAGCAAGACCTGCTCTCTCCCTCAAGTGATTACAAGAAAGATCACCCTGTCTATTGGATTGCATCTTTGCCATCAGCAACTAGTTGGTGTTCACATCAAGTCACCGAGGAATACCAGGCGGCGATAAAAGTAAGCCTTCGGCTTTTGGGGAAGAGGCCGCAAGACCCTTTGAGTCGTTCACTTACTTTTGTGGAAACATGCAGTACCAAATATACGACGGGCTGAGGGGTTTGCTTTCGAATTTGAGGCAGAAGATTTAACAGCGGTCAAACTGTCTAACAACAGACTGGAGAGGTATGCGCAGGCAGAGGCCGAGTTGGTGGGGCTACAAAAGAGTGCAGCGGAGGGAAGAAACGAGGTGTTGAAACGGTAATGGCCAAACGTCCAAACTACTTTGGAGTGGTTGGAATAGACTCTTAATGTGAATTGCAAGCCTTTTCTGGGTATTCAACGGAGAATGTTACAAACACGCGGTCTAATCGGTAACGAAATTACAGTATCATAGACCGCCGACCTTGGGATTTATAGACTCGGAGGACTATATCGATAATTACCAGGGACAATTTATGAAGAATAATAATGTATTTCTGAGTATAGAAAACTACTCTTTTATTTTATTTAAAAATGATTATAATAATAAAGGGACCAAAATTCATAATGAATCTAACGGAAAGTCGCACTTCTTTTAAATCTAATTAAGATGTCGTTTCTTACTATTATTCTTAGTGTGTGTGGCTACCATCTCTGTTGATTATAATTTTATACGTGACGGTTATTGTTTACGGACCATATCCGTTCGATAACCTTCTATTCTAATAACCCAACACTTATCCCCAAACCTTCTTGTAATGCCTGATACATATTGACTTATTTTGCGTTGGCTTAATCCTATCATTCCGACTGCATAATCTAAATTCTCCCTCCACGACGTGCAACTATATCAATAAACGACAGTCGTTCGCTTGAAATATTTTCCTTGGGACTAGAGCAAAAAAATCAAAGTCATCTCTGCCAAGAGCTTCATTGCTGTTTGATATTTTGTACAAAGCCATTACGCTCAGAGTTCCGAAACAAAAAATTGGTATTACTCCATTGCTACAACCATTGATAAAAAATGCCATACCTTTATCGTGTAATCAATTCGTCCAGAACCTTTGTCTAACATTCACGTTGAGGCGTCCTGGAGTATTGGCAAAACATATTACATCACGTGAATAATTAAAGGTCCGTGTCGGCTCTTTTCTCCAATACGTCTTTTGTACTAGTCACAGAATTTGTCCAATGTCCTTCCGTAAAATAGACATCGACGCCTTAGACGAGGAGCAGTTATCAAGGGAGGAATTGTTTATATTCTCAAATGGGGTCGCGAATGGTCCGACTTTGGAAAGTGTCAAAAGTGGTGCAATAGACGTAAGGAATGCCCTGACTAGGTGAGTCGTCTGCAGCGAGGAACGAGGGGTGATGTGAACGTATATTTGAAACGTGTATAAAGTCGAAAAGATGAGTGACAATAGGCTTTTTCGTCGGAAGAGGTGATACGGCGACAGCATTATCAATTGCTTTAGACAATCCACCATATGGGCTTGACAATGACGAGGCGAAGGTACCAATAGTTCCTAACTTCTGGGGAATTGGATTTTCTTCCATGAATTCTTTAACTATCAACTATCTGCTCACTCTCGTCTCCTGCCAAACAGACACAAAATACAAGAAGCGTCCTCGATGTCTTATCGTCAGTCAAAGCTAGTGACATTCCCGGACATGTGAAAAGCCTTTCGAGTGACCAACAGTTAGTGTTGATGAAGTATATTTATAAAGGTATGGCAGCACCAGAGACTGGACAGTCGGCAGTTCTGTTGAATTGGCACGAGAAGGTAAGGAGAAATTGGATATTTGAAGTGGGGGTTCGAAAAAAGACCTTGTATTGCAAGATGTTAATTGATTCGGTGTGTTCTTGTTCTTTACTCGTTTTTTTTTGTAGCTTACAGAAGTGGCAGGCGTTGGATGTATTGTACGCGTGATTACAGATAGAAAAACTGTCTAGAGCATAATTCAAATTTATCAACTCTATATTATTTTCGTAATTTATGTACCAAGTCTTGTTCAATAAATTAAAAGGAACTTAATCCTTGGTCTTTATTAACAGTAAGAGGAGGATTATACAATCGTACGTTTTGTACATGTTTTCAGGTGAAAAATGCCATGATCGAGCGACTTGGTAATTAATCTTCTTCTTTCAATGATATCTAATGTCTTGAACGATCTACTCAAATCTTGGCATTCTCTTAATACGTAAATCAATAAAACGATCCACGCCGAATCTACAAGTCAATCTTCTTTGTTTCCTTAATTACAGTTTTTGTGATATCATCATCTGTTGGCATCCAGCCAAGTTGCGAATTTATAAATTATTTCAAGTTCCAGGCCCATTTGCATCCATGAACTCTCCAAATTCATTTGGTGATGGTGATCTCGAACGACGAGCCGAGGGAAGTTGCATTGTACCTTTTTGTAGTTTCTGTCTCATTGAAGCTGCGGATGGAGGAGGAGGAAGAAATGGTATGGATTCTACAAGGGTGGAGAAGGGATGTAGAATTTGAAATCACAGTGAGTGTAGGTTCCCGGAACTGTTAAGATGTAGAAAGGATTAAATTTATATACACGTACGATCGGGCCCAGAACTTGAACTTGTCTGTGCGACAGGACGTGATCGCCGCTGGGGATTCTGAGTAAATCAACAGGTTCTGTTAGTACAAGCGAAATCCCTCCTCGAGAACTTGATTCCAATACCAACTCTTCTTACCCCGCCAATATTAATGCTAATCGTCTCTCCTTCTTTCAAACTAAAATCCATTTTCGGTAACGCAGCTCCTTCTTTTTCCTTCTCCACCCGTTCCTTGGTTTCATTCTCCACTTTCACATGCTTTACATGATCTTGAAGGGCAACTTGGAAATCAAACGCTTCGCTGCGTTCTTGAAAACCAATTCCAATAAATGCATGGCGACCTTTATCTTCAATTCGGAGTACAAAGTAGCGTGAGGAATCGAGGACTGGTTCGACCGAGTTTGTTGCAGGATCATGGAGACATTCAGCGAACAGTTCGCCTTTAACGTATAGACGATATTAACAAGTGCCCATAAGAAGAAAGTCGGAGAAAGAAACTGTTATTTATTGATAGCAGAAAGACAATGAATAGATTCTTTGTTTTAATAATATTAAACCTGTTGTCGAATCCTCTAGCCGAATGAAGCATTTGTTGCCTTTTGCAAATACGCGTAGCCGGCCCTTCCATAAGAACGTGCCCGCATCTCCCCATTCTTGCGCTCTGTTAAAGTGCAATTATTTCAGCAGCATTTCATAAATAATTGATTTAGTCATGTAACAAGTTGAATAGTACCGATATCCTCTGCTCGAAGTTCGTGGGGGAATGCGATACACTAGAAATTGTGAGGCGTTGATAAATATTCAAGTTAAAACAATCGCATCGATCCGAGTTGCATTCGTAATAAAGATTTTTATGTATCGAATGGTCTGTTTTATTTTTTATTATCATTTTTTACCAAGACATTCTCTTATAACAAGCAGAACACTTTCATATTCTTCGTCCATGGTTTGGGTTCATGTAAATATTTGATAGCCATATTAATCGGTTCTTTTAGTCCAAAAACGATTCCTTATTTAGCCAGTCAGCCACACAGAGATTCAAAAGATTTTAACTGGCGGGACTGTATGTAATACAAAAGTCATGATCCTGCATGGACGCACAAACACTTGTACCCCAATATATATAATGCAGTAATTCCAAACCTTCTCTCGATGGATGATCAACAAAGCAAAATAATCAACGATTTAACAGCGGAGCTAAACAATTACGAAGAAAAACTTAATACTATATTCAAAGAATTAAACTGGGACATTGATACTATTACCGAATATGAGAAGGTATGGAATCTGGCTTGTTAAAGTTGTTTCGAGTGATATGAGCTAATACAAGTTGGTGAATAGGAGGCGAGTAATTTGGTAACATGCCCATTCGACAATGGACACAAAGTGCAGGAAAAATCATATAAAGATCATTACAAAAGATGCGAACTAAAGTATCATGGAATAAAGGATGAAAAGAGAAAGGTTGGTATTTGTAGTTATAAGATTGAAAGCCATACTCTATTAGAGTATTGATTCTTCTAGTCACTTACAAGTTTTCCATGTGTTGACGCAATTGCTGACGTGCTTTATGTATACCAGAGGAGACAACTTCCAAGTTCACAGTTCTTTTATGAACAATCTCCAATTGTCATTTCTCTTGTGCAAAATCCAGGTTCAATTATTCGGTTTCTCATTTGATCTCGTACTTGAGATATATGCTAATACCGTTCTGCATATAGCACCCGATGAATCATTCTCATCTGTTAGGCAACCACTTTCAGTTTCGCAGCGATTGGGTTCATATCTGGCCGACATCGACTTGTCCAATAAAATTAGACAAGAACAACATAAACCTGTGCGTGACGAGTACAAGGATTTTGATGAAGTATGGGAAGCGTTACAGAGAATGAAAGGTACGCCCCACAATAACGTTATTTTTAACAACGGAATGTGAAATATGATGGTGCAATACTTATTGTGGAATATTTGTATATTAACGTACAGAACAACAGAATCAAGGGCAAAAATCTCGTGCTGAACTATTGGCTGAAATGAGAGACTATAAAAGACGAAGAAAGAGCTACAGAGCTAAGAATATAAGTATAACAAATAGAACAGCAACTCAGGTATTCATAGAACATCTCTTTTTGATTTGTGAGTGGCATTGAACTCTGAGATTTGGAAACAGGTGCTAATAGTAAGTTCTTATCCACGAATGGACAGGTACATCATGATCTAATCGCAGCATTTACAGAGGATTATAAATTATTACATGAATTTGGGGATATGTTATTAGATGCAGTAAGGGATGAGGGCCACAACGACAAGCATGTCATGAGTCGATGAAATAAAGAGTAGAACATTGTTGGCCAACAAGACTATATAACTTGTAGACACTACTGATGGAACACATATCATTCTCCCTTTAGTCCCATCACGTGATAAAAATATTTAACAGGTATTGAGCCTTGCTCTATATAGTAAAAAAGTCTAAAAAAAGAGCAACTATCTTGGACGTGAAATTTGTGCCTTTCATAAAGTTAACATGCCATGTACTCGATATCAAGCTGAGATTACAGCTCATTTTATGCTAAGTATGACTTAACATTGATCGGACATTGAAGGAGCGGCCAAAAATTTTTTTAAAACATTGTCGATTTAAATTTCATTTGTTAGAAGAGGCAACAAACGAGCAAGTCTGATTACGAAAATATATATTAATATTATTATCATGAATAAATTTTGTGTGACTCTCCACAGACGCATGGTGTGACTAAAGAGTATGCATAGCTTATCTCTTCTTTGAGATTTTTACTCGAATAATTCGTGTCAAACCCTCTTATATTATATAAACGCGTAATTTTTTAATACACATACGTAATTTTTTATCCTAATAATATAAACCCGTATTTGTATAACGATCTAGCTTATGCTTAAAATTTAAAGCAAAGTAAGGGCGAATCTGTATAATAGTCTCGCCCCCACCAGCCGCCCCGCATTGTGTAACGAAGACTTTTGAATGATTCATAGCTCCTATGTAAGAGATTGAAGAAATAATATTTTTTTTTTCTATCTTATAACATGTTGTAGGCTCTTAAAAGATTTTTATTTCCAGTGGCGCCCAATATTGACATCTAGACTTCATCCTCAGTAAGTAACATGTTGGGTATCCCATCCATGATGGTATAAACGTGATTGCAATTGAGACATGTCATCTTGCCTTGCTCAATGTGTGTCTGTAAAGAAAGAAGAGAAAAAAGCATTGTAAGATGGAGGTAATGATAGTAGATATCACGTGGCGAACCAAATAATAATCAGACTTACTTCCAGCAAGGTGTGGTGAAGTGTCCTGAGAAAAGCCTCGTCAATCTGTTCTGGCAGTTTCTCCGGAAGACTCGCTAATCCGAGCTATATAAGGCAGATTCATGTCAGTACAAAATGTTTACTATATTTGGAAACTGTAAATCAACAAAGTTATGGCCTGCACAAACTAATACCACACCGACCTCAGCAGCAGTCTTGACGAGACCATCCCACTTTAATTTCGACAACATGTTTCTTAAAAATGGTTCATTGAATTCAGTTTCATGAATTCTAACGACAGTCTCCGAAAATTGTAAAGGGGAGTTTTTTACGGTACATCCCTTGACGTGGCATTGAAGCATATTATGAGTGATTAAACGCATGTTGTTATATGTATATATCTGTATATAGGGGCGGCAGTGTTTTTGTGGGGGGCGATAGATACTAATAGATGATGAAGAGGAATATCGAGAAATCAAAGCCAGAGGTTCAAGTTTATATAGATTTTTTTCGGATCAGACCTTATTATTGTTACACGTATGCTGTATGTCATCATAGACATTGTTTAAATTATTGACTTGATTCTTATATTACTGCACACCTTACACAACATCAACGAACGAACAAGCAACTCCCGGATATTAACGACATTGACATGCTATCCACTAGATTTCTAACTCGTCCCACGGTATCCACCTTTGCAGGTCGGCACATGGCTTATTCTTTGAAAATGCGTCATTCTTGCATTATTCCACAACATTTTTAATAATCGTTTATTATCACAATAGTCTTACGCAGGGGTTCAGCCTGCTTTCATTCATCGTCTGTTCTGCAGACAGGAAAAGTTTTTGAAGCTCAAGAAGAGACGTTTGGGAGTTTAGTAGAGAAGGCCAGTGAGCCCGTTATCGTCGATTTCTATGCCGAGTGAGTGGAAACTCAAACCTAGATCTAATGATGACAAAGATTTCTCGCTTTCCCTTATTACCCGACACAACAAAAGTAATTGAATGGATTATTGAAACGGTTTACTTTAAAAAAAGTTTATTTTTACATAGCCAGAAAATATTATTATACATACTAAAGGAGGAAACTCTCTGAATAGTCTGGGTTGTTTTTTTTTCTTCATCTAAAGGTTACGTAATGCCAAATAGTCATAGGTCCTTATTGTGGACAGTGCTTTTTCTGAATTGTACATAATAGTAACGAGGCCGATATCGTCTCCAATCACGTACGATCTTACGATTTGCTAATCAAAAGATCGTCATTGTACTGCTATTCTTATAATATTCTATTTAAGGTGGTGTGGACCATGTAAAGTCCTTGCACCAATCATCGAAAGCGCGGTGAATTCGAACAAAAAAGTTACTCTCGTCAAAGTCGATGTCGACAAAATTCCCGACATTGCTCATAAATATGGTGTATGTATAATTTTGCTTTCTCCCGAATATACTAGATCTTATTGATAATGAATATTTTTAATCGTTAGGTTTCGTCGATGCCAACTGTGAAGGCCTTTCACAAGGGCAAAGTAGTGGGTGGATTTATAGGCGCACAACACGCAAAGTTCGTCAAGGAATTCGTGGAAAGGGCCGGATCATTGGCCAACTGAAACCTCATTGAGTCCACCGCAACCTTATGTACACGTGAAGCAGCATTGTTGAGATTACTCAGCGCAATATTTTGTTTATGTAATTTACTCTAAACATAATTTACTTAAAGGTTATTGGAACAATTACCCGAAAGCATGCCATTCTCCTTGTATCGAAAAGCATGGCGTTCTCCTTGTATGCGAAAAGCATGGCGTTCTCCTTGTATGCGATCTTTTGAATGCGATAATGCTATTCTTCTGAAAATAGTTTACCCACCCTGCATACTATGGGCTTAAAAGTCCGGATCCAAAGTTAAATCCAATTGTTTCAACTGCAAAGTGAAATCCAACTGCCAATTCCGTTAAAGCTTTTCTTTGCCAAGCCCATTCACAATCTAACTGGTTCCTCTATCAGTCTACGATGGTGTCTAAATTACAGTTTCCTCATGCGGGTAAATATTTCTTGCGTCACCGAGACATTGTATCTTTTTTTTTTTGGTTGTACGACAGGTGTTCCAATCCATAAAAAGTAAGAGAAAATAATAGTAATGTAAGACTGGACGCATAAATGTATTAATCGCGCACTTTAATTGTTTTCGCTAAGAAAGGGTAATGTTACGTGACTTTTAGACAGAAAAAGGCAATGACAATGGAAAACAACTATAGGGATAATGTAATCAATAATAACAAGATTGAATATAGAGTTGCTCAGTAACATGATTAGCTTTCAACAGTTAAATTAATCACCTCAACAGATCTTTTCAATTTCTCTACAATCCCCAGACCAATTCTTCAACTTCTTCCCAGTTTTTACAATCTCGAATCTGCGGCATGCATGCCACTAAATACTTTGATAGACCCTCGAATTCCCACAAGAGAACATACCACATGGCTCTCCTCCCGAACATTCTAATTGAAATTCCGTCACCATATGCATTTAGAAATCTTTGTAACAAGGCCTTTGAGCAACCTAATGCGCTTATGTAAACAGACACAACATCAAACAAAGGGTCCCCTCCATTTATGTGTGCATCTCCGAGATCGATAACAGTGGTAGGTATCCAGTCATATCGAGAGTCTTCACATTTTACAACACCGAGGATATTTTCTGCATTGAGGTCACCGTGAAGAGTACCTGCGCAAAACCCATCAACTGCAGGGTCAAAGATCTCTGGACCCGATTTCGGTAAATATAATGGCATTTGTGCAATCAGCTCAGGCGGAAAAGTGAGCCACATTTTGTGCGAGGTATGCGCTTTTTTTATGCGATTATTAATAAAATCATGAAATAGCGGTACATTAATGTCGGAGCCTGGACGTGTGGGTGGTGCGATATTGTGAAGGCCTGGAATGTCGTACATTTGTTCGGAAAAATTTATATGCCACGCAAATTTAGTAAATAATTTCAATAAACTGGTTTTGAAAATTACCTTTCAGGATTTTGGCTATGCGGTCCGTGAACAGTCCCCATTTGATCACCCCATATTTCCCATCAATGTCTACTTCACTCTGGGGACTTAGGCCACCACCTTTGATAATATCAGCCAAGCTCACGCTATCTTCCACCGCTTCAAAAATCATAAATGGCCAGGAATACAGTTGCTCTGAACTTTCTTCATACAAATAACCATGTCCCAATACATTCGCAAAATAGCTAGAAAGATCCGGATGAATATTCGCTTTTATCAACGAATACGCCTTTGACTCTCTCTTATAGCTTTCAATTCCATCATATATGTGAGAATAAAACTTTACAATTGAACGAGAGAACCTGAAAGCCTAATACAGCCACAGATGCATTAGAATGACGCTTCAAAAAGTACCAATTTATCGATTTGTATAAGCTTACGGGATTTTGTCCTTGACCTATAGGCGTAATGTCTTCAGGAACTGTAATTCCAGACTTTTTACAGGCCTCTTTCACTCTAATACCCCACACATCTGTATTACTGAAAGATTCAATAAAAGCCATCTTCGTGTCAAATCCTTCATTCTTTATGATTGAGTCTTTTGTTTGGTCTTTGTACATTGATATTCTTCTCTTGATATACGCTTCCAAATCCGGGTATATCCTTGTCAAATTTTTTGAAAAGTCGTCCCATATCTAACAATGGTCATTGATTTCAATAAGACGCAAAAGTTCCATGTCAAACCGAAATGGCGTTTACAGGATAGCCTACATTTTGATTGTCCGATTCACTCAAGAGATCTTCACAGACATTGTCGAGGTTATTCACGTTCACAAAATTTTGAGTAACAGCAACAGTATCCTCAAGATTAAGCACCTATAGAGGAATTACTAGGCTGTTAATAATAATCTTTTGTGTTGACGAGCTGGAGAAACCAAATTGATTCAGTTACGTGCCATATGCCACCATCCACTGAAAGCCCGATTAGACGTCATCAGTATTGGAATCTTTACTGTCACATCGAACAACATGAGAAAAGTTCTTACCTAGGCACAAATATAGTCTGTCTAGCAATAATCAAATATTTAAGTTAGCTGAGATGATAATATTACTAAGTCTCAGTCTGTTAAGAGAAGACGCACCCAGGCTCCTGCAAGACTTCTATTGGTCTCAACTCTGGTGTCAATTGCGGATAAATTTCTAAATACCAAAATAAAGAAGTCGCTGAATCATTCGCCTGAGCGGGATCATCTAGAAGTGATTGATGACCATTCGCCGATGAACGTGAGATGCTCATTCCTACAAATAGTAGACTCGATTGGTTTTCACATTGTAAAATGATGTATAGAAAATTACGCTAAACAAAAACATACCGGGCGGGACTAATTGAGGGGGATAACTAGAATAAGATGTCTTAATGTATATAGACATGCAAAAAAAAAAAAGACGCCAAAATTTATTCACTCACAGTGCCCATCGTTTTCTTCCTGAAATCAACGTGTTCCAAGCTTATGAAGAGAGAATTCAATACTATGGTTATTTCAGCCTGCTTCGTTTGATTAAATTTGAAAAGCATCAGCCTACCTGAAGTTCCTAATGGATCGACATGCCACGATGCTCCTGGGAATCGTTACAACATTAGGCCTTCGTCTCCAAGTTAGAAACTGTTTCTCGCGTACAACATACCAGATCTTTCGGGACCTATTATTATCCATCGATATGGCGGGCGTTTAGACTGCAATACCGAAAATAAATCATCCTGAAAATATTCTGAAACCTACGAAATATGGTTTATTATTGAGTACAGTTTTCTTAACGTGTTGGGATGATATCAATGTTAATTATCTGATTACCTGATATGCACTACCCATTTCGGGTATATTATCAACAAAACTCGGATCAAACACGTACAACGGCGTTTCGTCGTGTTGTCTTCGAATGTAATTCAAATAGGATGCTAATGTCATCGGTACGTATTTTACTTTGCCGCCACGCTCGTTTGCCACTCTGAAAATCTTGTTGCCATACTATACACAACACCCCCAGTTTATATTTTCAACCGCATAGAATTCCAAGTATGCACGATCATAATCAACTTGATCTTACTTTATGAACGATATCGTTCAGTTTCCATTCATCCCAGGCTCGCCATTTTTCAACCCCAGTATTTGTGATCAAACAAGGCATAGAAGGTGCGTCATACAAGTTATTAAATTTTGTTTTTGACAGGATTTCTCCATTCTCGATGGCTATACGTCCGAGTGCTTCTGGTGGAGGCACAAAATTACCGAGAAACATGTTACATCTACACCATTTGGCATAGAGATAACGAGATTGAATGCCTGAGATTTACACGTCAAATAAGTTTGATAAAATTGTGATGGGAATTGGGCCAACTATACTGCTGATGTCCGTTACCTTTCAACCGAAGAGGCCAACAAAGAGGATGTGATGAAACACGTCTTTCCTCCTCGTCTGATAGTCTCGATGGGAATATATACGTGAGTAACCAAGTACCACGGAATGTAAATGAAGTCATAACTTCCTTGTTGGAAACCCATTTATCGAGGCAATGTCTCTTCCAGAGCTGGTCGTCACGTGAGAAGACGTACAAATGTCGAGATACTAGAGCACATCTTCCCAGATCCTGATTATTACAATAATTGATTATACCGGATGGAACTTGTATTATGTTGCGTGAGTAGGAATCGACTTACTTCTGCAGGAAGTTTTTGAAGAATAAACTCGGACAACAGATCATCTGTCAACACATTAAAATCGCCGAGACTGATGGCTCTGTTGTCCATCTTGGTTTCTAAATGAAATGAAGAATCGAATACAAGGACTATGAATTATAAATAGTTTTGCGCCATACAGATCAGCAGAAATGTATCTAATTGGTTGAACATTGGTCAAGAATGCCACTGATAAGCAAAGCCCGTTAACGATATTCTGACCTTGCAAGTTAAACTTTATAAATAATCATGCTTTTTCACGATTAAAGCGCATTCAAGTGAATCAGAGAATGAGTTGGTATTTATTGTTGACATATTAATATGAAATAGTTCATGATGATTTGATAGCCAATACCTTCCATGAAGAACCAAATCGAGTGATCACTTGTTAAATCCTCGATTGGAATATTCTCGTAAAAATAAATAAATAAATAATATTGGATAACAACTTGCAAAAGTTTAATCGACAAGACCTTTTAAGAATGGGCCTGCTATCAGCTATTACTACTATTATATGGAAAGTGATTATCAATTTCTGCACCAACGCGCCTTCCTGCATTTCTTCGTTCAAAAGGGACGCTTGTTCTAAATTGCTCTCCCTGTCAACATTTGGGAGCTTTACCAGAAAATTGACAATATTCTTTTAATTGACTTCATGCCATGCTTCTTTGCTATCATGTAAACTAATTGATATTCGTATCAATAAGACTGTATAAATGTCGCATCTTTTAAAGCTCCGGTTCTATGATTTGTGTGCGTTTGTGAAATCAAGCGAAAGAATTCTGCAAAAGATTATTACACGAAATCATCCAATCTATGTGAGGTTTTTTCATTTGTACTTAAATAACCCGGCATCACAAAGTTGAATATAGCAGTACAGCGGGTAAAAATATGTTGCGTTTTGGTGTAGCAAAAAACAGGTATATGTATTATACCTCAGTTGGGGATTCTGGACCGAGACAATTGAGTTCTGGACCGAGACAACTGAATTCTGGATCCCAAACTCAGACGCAACATATGCAAAATATGCCGGAAATATAGTATAGCCAGAGTTGACTGTATTACTAGACTTTGTCATTGCTCTGTCATTGACTTGTGGGTGGTAAGTTATTAATTAAACCTAAATATGTTTTATGACTCGAAGAGTCGCCTGTTATAGCATCCTCTTCCGCCGGAAGTCTGTAGGTTGGGGCTTATTTAAAATGGCAAGGCAAATATATTTACCTTGGCGTTCCATCATACGAATAATAGATATATCGAGTTTAACTTATAAGAAATGTCGTCATACATAAAATATTCGATTGTTAATGAAGGGTAGTTTCAGCTTCAACGTTAATGTTCCTCTTTCCACTGTAATGCTCCTATTGGAGAGTATCCGCATTCGCTTTGCGTCTCTATCACACTCTATGGCTAATACTCTACTAACATTTGGCACTCATTGACGAAACAATATTTTAATTTACAATAATTGATAACTTTTGTTGTATCAAAGTATCGGTATCAAAATAAAGGACAAATAATAACAATGCATTTTTCCCCAATAATAAATAACGATATTAAGATTTTATACAAGAGATGAAACCACCCCCAGGGAAGTAGTTTCACTTTCAGTTTTACCTTTCAGCAGTAACCAACTTAAATTTTTTTCCGCCTGGAAAAAAGGTCACTATTCTAATTCGTCATTTAATACTCCATTTCCCTTCAGACGTCAAGTACAAATTACATGACTTGTCACTCTACATGGAGTGATTTTTCGACCAATCAAATAATTCTGAAGTAAATGTTAACCAATAACTCACCCCTTATTATATATATATATATATATATTTTTTCTAAGAAGAGGTATTAACAACGTTTGCAATACAGCAATAGCGACTCGTGGTAAATCGTGTGAACATGCGCTGCCACTGTTTCCATTGTCCAAAAGCTGTCTCTGCTTCACTGTTTTATTATAATCCTCTTGATCTTTTTTTTTTTTTTTGAAACAGTAAGTCAGCGGAGCTTACCCAATGAGGACTAGAACGAAATTTTACGTCTTATTTTAGTATAAACAGCTCTTAGAGCCTCGGATTTCGCGCATTCCCGATAGTCATAATGACAACGTAATGGATGTTCGAGTTACATTTCGGTCTCATCGTTCATTGGCAAAAAAATATATTGTCAGTCAATGGTTTCAGTTATAATCACGTGAAAACACTATGACATATTTTATTCGTTGTAATATGATAAATGGCACACGTCTACACGGGGGAGGTCAATTTTTAACCGCCAACTGTGACAATGTAGTATCGTAATCATCTGCATGCGAAATATAAATTAGAAGCGTAGACCATTTTCACTGCTGATCCGTAGATCATTTCCAGAAATTGTCTGCATCGTGAATTTTGCGTCCGTTTACTCTTTTTGCTGACTGCCATTATTTTTTTCCTGGACTGTAAATACCAGGCATTAGGCCAAGTTTCTTTATTAATTCAGTTTAGTATCATAGATAGCATGTGCTTTCTCATGTACTAGCTGTCTAAAAGCAGTTTTAGCGTTGTCAATAAAGATCCTATAAAATCGAAGTGTTTAAAACTAAATCGCGTCTCTCACTCGCTTACACACTTCTGCATAGCAATATTAATAGTATTCTTTGAATCCGACGACGATAGTCTTATTCTTATTCTTTTATTTATTCTAAAAATTGTCCATGGTTTAGAATATTTTCATGTTCTAGCTCGTTTACGTTTTCCTTTTGCTTCGCGAATATCCGTAATACTGTTAATCTGTTTTGTGTTATCTAATAGTGCTCGAACGTGTTGATAATTTCCCCGTTCAAATTCTGTTGCTAGATGATCCAAAAATTCCTTTCGCGTTTGGATGTCATGCTGTAGTCATTCTCTGGAGATTCGGAAACGGCATCATTTTCGATGGTTTCTTGCAAGCGATATCATTCTCATTGGTTGCTCGCTCTAAGCAAACATATCGGTCTCTTGCTCTACTTTCAATGTAGATTAATTGTTTGGAGCACCCACCAGTGCAGAAATTGGAACAATTACATACCCTGATGTACAATAGTTTCCCTGGGTTTAAGTAGAAAGGTTTCTCTCAATCACGAAATAGAGATGAGGATAGACACAATGTTATTTATTTGTCCATTCATAATCACAATGATTGTTTATACACTCGAAGACTTATGTATCCAAATGTTATCTATCGACTTTATTCCCATTTCGACATATTGTGGGCCTACACGCAGCAACTGTTGAACGACATGCTTGATATACAATACAATGATAATAACCTCTTTTTTTTTTCATTTAGGATAGGTGAGACCGATTATCAAAGGAATGCAATGAACACTGCAGTCGTATTTCTGGAAATTCTATCATCAAATAAGCCTTCAAGTGCTTGTTTATAATACATTCCGAAAGGCAAGAGATTGCTGAATGGTCAGCCTATGTATGCATATAGCGTTACGCAGTCACCAGGTGTAAGAATCGAAAAGCAGGCCCGTTAGTTCCAAGCAAATTGTCGCCAAAAATAACAAGGTAATTCTTAGAGTACATAATGGGGAAGCAAGTTACAGTAACGTGCAAAAGTATCCTACCGGTTGTATCATCTAAACGTACATAATAATAACTCCTTAAATTTTCCA